GACAACATGCCCTAACCCATCTTAACTGGCACTTCACGATCATGCACTCAACACTTGTGAGGCCACACTTCTCCAGAACCTGTAGGTTGGACACCTTGTCCTGCCACCTGATGTTGCAGATGTTCCGCAAACACCGCTGCTGAAACTGCTCCAGTAACTGGATGTGACGACGATAAGTAGTCCAGGTCTCACAGCAGTAGAGAAGTGTGCTCAGCACCACGGCTATGTACACTGCAATTTTGGTGGAGAGCCGGATGCCATGTTCTTGCCAGAGTCTTTTGGTCAGCCTGCCAAATGCCACGCTTGCCTTTCCAATGCGCTGTGTCACCTCAGCATCCAGAGATCCACTGCTTGTAATTGTGCTACCCAGATAGCAAAACTTGGTGGGAAACACAGACAAACATGCACACATACATACATACATACATACATACATACATACATACATACACACACAGGGTCACACACACACATACACACAGGGTCACATCAGCTGGGCAGGTGGGAAACACAAACAAACACACACACACACACACACAAACTCACATTAGCTCCATAGCATAGGTGGGTCACACAGACAAACATATGCAAATAGACAAGCAGGCTCACATACGTGTGTGTGCGTATAATAATGATGATGATGCGTATTTATATTGTATATAAATATGTATACATATATGAAGATTTATGTTTTGTGTTTCGCCCTCGAATTATTCCAGCTCCCAGATGAGAACTGCACTGGGAGTTAAATTGAGAGTCTCTTGTTCTTATTTCCAGTTTTCAGCACTTTCAGGAGACGTACGGAAGTCTGGACGTTGAAGAAGCAAGGCTCAAAGGTCAGGAAAATTCTCTGATATAGAACTTCTTCGATTCAGTTTATAGATAGGAACGGGGTGTTTCATGTTTGTGTTGCCATAGGAACGGGGTGGTTCATGTTTGTGTTGCCATAGGAACGGGGTGGTTCATGTTTGTGGCCATAGGAACGGGGTGGTTCATGTTTGTATTGCCATAGGAACGGGGTGGTTCATGTTGCCATAGGAACGGGGTGGTTCATGTTGCCATAGGAACGGGGTGGTTCATGTTTGTGTTGCCATAGGAACGGGGTTCTTCACGGAGGACCCTGATGAGATCACGCAGCGGTTCGGAGGTCAGTGGAAGTCGTCGGATTTCCAGGCCGGAGACGCGCTCATTTTTACCATGAGGTAAAGACTCACACTTTACATGGATAAGATAGCGCTGAGCACCGGTATAGTTAGTGTTCCGGCCGACCCACATTTTACATACTAGGTTATCAACATAAGATTATTAAGCGCTTCGTATCGATATAGTTAGTGTTCTGTTCTGTCAGCGACATTGTAGTCTCCAGTGTTAGCGTTCCGCTCGTCCATTCTAAATCTATTTTCTGGGAAAGTGTTTCTTAAGTTTCACGTCTTCCTCCGCCTTGTGTGTGTAATGTTTGTTTGTTTGTTTGTTGTTTTCTCCCCTCAGAACCGTGCACATGTCGACTGTCAACACCACGCGGTTCGCAAGGGTCAGCTGCGATACAAGGTAAAAACAACTACATACTATATTATAGTGAGTCTTACAACATTAAATCTCTGAGATCTCATGTTTACCGAGTTTGGTAATGACTAATGTTTATGTTGCTTGCCAGTATATCACTGTTGTACTTATATATATTATCATTGTGGCTGCTTTAACTTTAACTTTATTCTTTATTTCAGGCGCAAATTGGCCCATAGTAGACAAACAATTAAAATAACAAGGTGCACACATAGTACACCGGCTTTAGGTGACGACCTGTTGGTTTGCCAGCAGACACCCGGGTCACGGGAGACCTGCGCCCGGAAGGGTTGTTGTTGCTGTTGTTGATGAGGTTGTTAATGTTGGTTAGGTTGTTGTCGTTGTTAATGAGATTGTTGTCATTTTTGTTGTTGTTGTTATTAGGTGGCAGCCAGCCGGACTCCCAGCCGACCCGCGGTTCACGGGAGACCTGCGCCCGGAAGGGTTGTTGATGATGAGGTTGTTGTTATGATAATGTTGTTGTTGATGAGGCTGTGTTGTCATTGTTAGTGTTGATAACGTTATTGTTGTTATTAGGTGGCAGCCAGCCGGACTCCCAGCCGACCCGCGGTTCACGGGAGACCTGCGCCCGGTTGTTGTTGTTGTTGTTGATGAGGTTGTTGTTGTCGTTGTTGTTATTGTTAATTAGGTTATTGTTGTCGATGAGGTTGTTGTTGTTATTAGGTGGCAGCCAGCCGGACTCCCAGCCGACCCGCGGTTCGTTGGAGACCTGCGCCCGGAAGGGTTGTTGTTATGATAATGTTGTTGTTGTCATTGTTAGTGTTGATAACGTTATTGTTGTTATTGTTATTGTTATTGTTATTAGGTGGCAGCCAGCCGGACTCCCAGCCGACCCGCGGTTCACGGGAGACCTGGGCCCGGTTGTCCCGCGGTTCGGCGTGCACGGCAAAGACGGGACCGTGCAGGAGTCCGAAGTCACCATGGAGGAGTTGAAGGAAAAATGGGGATTTCGTCAGCTGTTAAGTCTTAAAACCATCTAACTAATGACAATGATCTTGTAACAAGCCGTGGCTAGGGTAGACAAGCACCAGCAGGAGGACTAAAATTTTAGAATAAAACAGAATGTAAAAAGAGAACGGAGAACTCAAGTTCACAGTAGAGAACACTGAGAGTGCACAGAAATACGCTTAAGTCTTTTTTTATTCGCAGTTAGTGGGCTTTAATTCTCGATGTTTTATTTTCAGCGAATTCAGTCAGATTTAGTTCTTTTTGGTCTTTTGTTTCGTCCTTTCACAAAGCCCAAGAGAAATTAAATATGTGTGGACTTATTCTAGTATCTATACAGCTATCACAACAATAATACAAGCCAAAGGAACAGGGTAAAACAACACATTGTCAGTAACTCTGCCGCGGATCCGGAGTACTCCCACGGTCGTCAAGGAAAGTTGAAGATCACAAACCGACATTTTACCTTAACGAGTTACATGTGCAAAGAAAGATCTTACACAAGCAATAGCGACATCTAGCAATCTACGATCAAACTGCACCTAGAAGGAAAGAAGAAAAATGAGAGGATTCTATATCATTCAACTTCAAGTTCTTTCACTCGTCTGCAAGAAGTGAATAAATGAACAAATGTCTGGTTTATTGCAGAAAACCCTGGCATCATCCACGCTGAAACTTTGTGTAGCTTGTTATACTGAGGGACATTTCTGTATGTTTTATAAGGATTTCAGACACTGAACACTGGTAACGTTCACTTCGACAATGGTAGAAATATCTTTAATGTTCCGAAATTGCAGAATTTAAAAATGTTGTTCTGTAATTTGGAATACACGCTTATTGCCTTGAGCTGAACCCATACGAAATTTCATGTTGGAAAACGTTTTACATACAATGTGAAAAAAACATACATAATTAGTCATAGAGTCAGTATTAAATACAAACACTCTTACTATTAGACAATACTGTACCAACACCCAAGTCTGGTTTTTCAGTCAGTAAAATTACAGGTTGCTTGAATCTTGTTGTGTGGAAGTCAAGTGGTGTAGAAGTCTAATGTCGCTTTTATAAGATTGTGAAGTTTATGTAATGTTGTTGTTTTTTGTAACTGTTGGAATCCAGGAAGATTAGTTTCACAAAATAATGGACATCCCAATAAAGCATCAAGTAGCAAATCTTCTTCTGCAATATTGAATTTTTTCTGCAAGGTGCTTCTGCGTTCAGGGGAAAGTCTTGACTCGGCTCACAGTAAGAGCAGGTACGCGTTCCAGTACATGAGGTTGAAGAGGAAGAACCCTAGCGGAAATAGCCCGCGCGACAGGCGGTCCAAGTTCTTGGCGCGATCCATGGACTTGTTCCTTTCCCGCTCCGGCGCTGGTCTCTGCTGACCGCTGCACTTCTCACTTTTCTCGCTAGGCGGCGCCTCTTCTTTTAAACTCACGTTCTTCACGTGGTGCAGCCATGTGCGCTGCCGCAAGGTGGCGTAGTCCTCCCGCTGGGGAATAACTTTTCCGTTCTGGAAGTAAAAACGAAATGCATTAGAAAATAACTGGATAAAGTCGAAAACTGGATAAATGTGGTTTGTGATAAATCCGTTTTACTTGTTTCGATCGTTCCATTTTTTCTTCTTCTATTTTCTCTTTTAAATAATTTTCCTAATTTCCTCTGAATTTATTAGCCAAGTAGATAGTGTGTTATAAGGTTATAACACTCTACCCACTTGTCCACTGCATCAGTTTTAAGGCAGAAAGATGCTTACTTCTTAATCTCAAAAGTTTATCTGTTTTGCTCATTCCTTGACAAAGACTGGAGCTGCACAGTCGAAAATTTAGGTAAGACCAATCCCTTGTTTTGGAAATCACGGTTTAAACTGCTTCGAAAGACGCTCACTTCATTTTTGTCGGGCTCGTCCTTGTCCTTCCTCCTTTTGTCGTGGTTCTTGTCCTGCCTGGACATGAAGTTCACGGCCGCGAACTCGATCAGCGCTGCGAAGACGAACAGAAGGCACACCGCCAGCCAGATGTCAATGGCCTTGACGTACGACACTTTGACGTCACCGCCCTGGGCCGAACCCTGGGTCGTCATGGTCAGAACCGTGGTGATTCCTGGGAAGGGAGATATCACATCCAGAACCTGTCTAGTTCTACTATCCAGAACCGTGGATTTCTACCGTATCCAGAATGTATCTATTGTATCCAGAACCGTGGATTTCTACTGCATCCAGAATGTATCTATTGTATCCAGAACCTTGGCTTTCTACATCTACTGTATTCAGTACCGTGCCTGTCTTAGTGCTATCGTATCCAAAACCGTTGCTGTCTAGTTCTACTGAATCCAAAACCGTTTCTCACAAGTTCTACCGTCTACTGGGCTTTACCTACTACTACTACTACTACTACTACTACTACTACTAACACTACTACTACTACTACTACTACTACTACCACTACTACTACCACCACTACTACTACATGTACCACTACTACTACTACAGTAACTACAATACTACTCGTGGTATTACTATCGGTTACCCAGGGCGACGCGGGCCGGCGCAGCCTCGATGTTGATCCAGAAGGAAACCCAGGACAGGATGACGATAAGCATTGTGGGAATGTACACCTGGATCAGGTAAAAACCCATCTGCCGCTGCAGGTCAAAGGTCGCCGTCAGACGCGTGTACTGCCCTGCAGATAAACAGTGTATCTTTTTACTCTTTTATTTCAACATAAAAGGAACTCGGGGGGGATCAGGGTACCCAGGGCTAGAACAAACAGACTGTATAATTCATTCTTACATTACTCAATCCGTCTATACAACAGCCAAATGAAGGCTTAGTGCCTCTGTGTATAATGTAAGTGTTGTGATGTCTCTAATGTACTTTTGCTAAGTTGACTCGTGTTTACTTTTTGTTAGGTCAACACAATTCAGTTGTACCATGTACTACTGCTATGTTGATTTTTATGAATAAAGTATAAATAAAACAACTTAAGGGAAAAAGACCATAAACATAGGGAAAGTGCAGGAGAAAGATAGACTCCAATATTCTCACCTGTGTTATAGTTCTGTACTGTTCTCACCTGTGTTATAGTTCTGTACTGTTCTCACCTGTGTTATAGTTCTGTACTGTTCTCACCTGTTTTATAGTTCTGTACTGTTCTCACCTGTTTTATAGTTCTGTACTGTTCTCACCTGTGTTATAGTTCTGTACTGTTCTCACCTGTGTTATAGTTCTGTACTGTTCTGTACTGTTCTCACCTGTGTTATAGTTCTGTACTGTTCTCACCTGAGTTATAGTTCTGTATTGTTCTCACCTGTGTTATAGTTCTGTACTGTCCTGTTTGTTCTGATGTTCTCCACGTAAAATTGCGGCAGCTCCACGGAAGTGTCGAACTCCACCGGCCGGGTCCACTTCCAGTGCAGCATGATGTCTGCTTCCGTCTTTCCGTCTGCGTAAAAACCACTTTGCATTACTCTTAACTCTTCTGTTATATCCAGAACCGTGACTGTCTTGTTCTTTGCCTGAATGGGTAAGAATTAGAATCTGGCACGGTTCTGGATAGTTTCCGTGTATCCAAGAACGTAGATTTGCTTCAGGCCGGGTTCGAGTCCTGACATGCTCACTAATATATTGTTGAAAAAACTTGAGTGTGCCGTCACCACGTCTTGTTGGAATATAAAAAAAAAGCAGCCCTTTCCTCACAGTACACAAGTTAGCGTTATGAACAAGGCGTTACAAGCGAGGAGACAGCTCCTGCATGCTGCGTCATTATTACACAGTAAAACCCGGTCCCGGAAAGGTCGGCACAGAATCGGGAGTTTCCGGGCACGCGGATCGGTTCCATCGATCATTCTCATGAGCGGCGAGTCGTTCGGCACCGACTGTCTTCGGTTCTTAGATAAACGACGCCCTTTTCGGCGCGAAATTAAATGGAATGTCCTTGACTTCAAATTTCCATACTGATAGAGGTGCTAAAGTTTATTTTGGATCCGAAAAGGTCACGGTTTCTCTTCAGTTGATGAGCATAAGACTTTACTCGTATGTTTGTAGACTCTTACTCTCAGACTCATTGCGGATGTCTATGCCGAGGTCACAATTCCAGATCGGGGGCCGGCCGGGCAGTCTTATGGAACAAAAAATATGGTATAAAAGACAACAAAGCACAAAAAAAGGTTTTCAAAAATCAATAATGGAACCTATTTAGGTAATATATTCTTGATAGAAATTGTTGATTTTCGTTATTTGAAACAGCCCAGTCGGGCCCAGGTTTGGAAATGTCACCTCAGCATTAGAAGGAAGAATTGTCTCTCCTATGCAGACCTCCCGTTTAAAGTAGTCAGACTTAACCTGTAGCCAAAAACTCTACCTACAGCTCTCCATCTTGAGGCCGCACTGTTGTCTGTCCATAGGGAACCTGTACAGGTTCATAGGGCACGCCAGGGTCAAGGTCAGCCTGGGGGCACAAACATGGCGGACATCAGTAAACAACAGAACAGCCCAACACTAACTCTACACCTTTAACCAGTGAGATTTACCTCGTTGTTGGTGAAGGTTAGACATCCAGGTAATAAGATACGACCAAAAAACAGTTACTCCAGCAACTGGACATGATTTTGGAAACGGTCAGACGTTTCAGGTAGCATCCACTAGCTTTCGTCAGTGACTCTAAGAGACCAGAGGAAAAATGCAAGTTTATAAGACTGTTACAAGGTCCTTGGACTGGACGTTTCTCTTACATTTCTTGAACAAATGCATGTAGATTTTAAGAACATGTCAGACACAATTCCTCCGTACCTCGTGCTGTAGAGTATGGTGCCTGTCGGGTCCACTCGCAGCATCCGGTTCGCCGTCGTGACGTCATGGAAGTTCGCGCCCTTCTCGTTCACGAAGAAGACATCCGGGACCCAGATTTTCCCGACAACACTTGCGTCCAGCGTCAGCGTCTCGTTAAACTGCGTGAAGGACAGGCGGGGGTCGTTCCAGCGCTGGCGGAAGAACACGTTTATGATGTAGTCCTGTGATCAGGCGGGTCAGGCGGAGGGAGACGGGGGTAAAGGGGCAGAAAGGTAAAGAAATATTCAGTTACTTTCGAGACAGCACAAGACAAATGGTGTCGACGTATTTTCAACCTGTGGTTTGGACGTCTTCGGTATCGTATCCAGAACCGTGCCTATCTAGTACTATGGAAGAATGGGTTAGGGTTAGGGTTAGGATCAGGCATGGTTCTGGATAGTCTCAGTGTATCCAAGAACGTAAGTTTGCCCCAGGCACGGTTCTGGATACGCCTGGACTATCCAGAACCGTTCCTGAGCGTGGTTCTGGATGAACGTGGTTCTGGATGAAGCACGGTTCTGTATTACAACAGATTCCTCGAACTGCCTGACAATGGATGTGATGACATCCTTGATGGCCGCGGCATCTGTCATAGTTTAACGGTTATATAGTCAGTCTAAAATAGAACAAACCCAGACAATATCAGACTGATTCTGACTGATGTCTGGTACTCGGTCGGTTCCGGGGTAATTAAATTTGGTGAAATTGTCAGGAGCGTCCCTTGAGTTATTATTGCTTCTAACTTCTGAAACTAAAATAGTACACTGGAATAACTGATCCTTACAACGAATTTCCAAGCTGATCTTTTGGCGGCCGCAAAGCCAGACAGTATCCATTGGGCACCTGGTGGATACTGCATGGCCAATTTAATACTTTCAATGTGGCCACCGAAATATCTGCTTGGAGATTACCTTACAACAGGCAATACAGATCATTCTCCGCAAGTCGACTTGAAGCTGTATTTACTAATTATTTCACAGCTTCTTAACAGAACCGTCCTTGGTTTGGACAAACTCCGAGTTAATAGTTCTGAGGTGGGTCTCCTGGGCCGTCTTGCGTCTCGGGATCCTTTGAACTTGGAATGACCTTGAGATGAGGAGACGTCGGTATCGCATTTCCCACGGAGATCAAGTTACTCGGCAGGTCACCCGATACCCTGACTGGCGCCGACACCGCCAGACACAAACAGATGGAAATGTCGCAGGTTTCTGTTCATTTGCATTTTGTTTTGGGAAAATGTCTTTTCCACCAAAAGTCAATCTGTGAACGTTGAATGTTTCTCTCGACGGCCTCATCATGAACCGCACTGACAAAACTGAACGCCACCTAGTTTCAGCAAGAAGTACTGCAGTTTCTGACTACGTAGTCAGCATTGGCTTCATCTCACGCCAACCAAACAGATAAAAAATACAGATACTCTCCACTAAACCCAGATAAGTTCCGCAGTTCCGCGCTGATCTGTGCGTAATTTGGCGGCTTGGCTCCGGCTCACAGCAGTCCGGACCCGCCAACTCCGCAGTTATTACATGGAATCAATGTCTGGTCTGCTAAACATTGCCGAGACTTAGGCCACATCAAGTAATTTTTATGGATGACGTCCTGTAGAAACCATAATCCTAATGCGAGAGCGCGAAATAAAACAAGAAGGTCCGAAAAAAGCAAGATATCTGGGTTTATACTAATTGACGACAAATGTTAGGACACAAGTTGAATGAGAGAACACACAGAGTAACAACCAAGTCTTTTATTCGTCATGAAAACAGGAATAAATCAGTAGAACAGCAATTGTCGTCTTGTCCTGTTTCTTTTCTTTTCTTTCATCACATGTTCTCTTACCCCACTGTCGTGACTTTCTGGTCATATGTGCATAGTTACAATAAGCGGAATTTATTGTTTTCCTTCTGGGAACAGGCCAAAAACCATGCGCGCGCGGACTTCATCCATAAAGATTACTTGGTGTGGTGTTACAGCGGGCGGACTTTGCCATGGCGCCAGACGTGTAATAACTAAAACTCTCCTGTGGACTCACTCAAAAACTCTGTCTTTGTATTTCTTTGTATATCTTATCGTTGTAATGTGCCTAACAACTCAGACTTTGTGTCTTCAAGAAAGTGTATGAATAGATAATGAAAGTTACAAAGTTTCATTTCTCCCGATTCTAACCTGTCATGTCTATATGCCGATGATGGCTCCTAAAGAGACAGTTCATAGACATCGACTGGATACTGAAATTAATTTTGCAACTCAGAAACAAACTTGATACACGTCAAACGTCTGAGAAGCTCCAGCCTTGACAAGAGCCGCGGTGCAAGTTTGCAGCAAGTTTTGCAGCAAGTTTTACCGCGCTTCACTTGGGCGGGCAAGCGTACAAATAGAAGTGTCCGTGTACTCACTAAAATATGGACATCCTATTGCAATATTCGTGGGATGTTCGTGAAGACAACCAAAGGAATAAAGGTGGTTTGAACCTGACTCACTGAAGCCAACTGAAAAGCTTCCTCGTCGTGACAGACAAGACAGGCGCTATGTACAGTATTTACAGGTTCTATGTTCCAGGGAACTTCCACTGGATCTTTTCAATAAGCATTAAGAATATGTAGGTTATATTTGTATAACGTCTTGAAAGGCATGCCCGAAGCCAGGATTTTGAAGCTCCCAGCTCCTTCCAGCGCAGCCGGCAGTAAAATTACTCCAAGGATTCTGCTTAGAGCTGCTTAAGATGCCGAAGTCTTACGAAGGAACCAAGGAAGTCTGTGAGGAGAAATTCCGGACCAGTCTCGGGTGTTGGTTGATAGATGGTTTATTATGAGTAACTCCCAGCTCCTTCCAGCGTTCCAGCATCTCAAGTTCCTCAAAGGATTTTGCCTCGAGCTGCTTAAGATGCGGAAAGACTGAAGACGTCGTAACAAGTCTTCTGGACCATAAATCACTTCTTACGGTTTCCAAGCGGAAATAAGAGTTCCTTAAAGACGCTGGGTAAGACTGGGGCTTCCGGAGTTATGAGGAAAACCCCGGTGCGGAAAGGATTCGACACAGTGCTGTGAGGACGGTCAGGTGGGGAGATAGCGGGAAGGCCGAGTACCTAGCTTCGGTTAGGCCATGTGATGAGATAAGGGAAGGCCGAGGCTGGTTTAATCTGGCAGCGAGAGTACCGAAGTAGCCTGTCGTCTTCCTTACTCCGGACATCCGTCAAACTTTGGACGTTTTTACTTCTTAAAGTAAAGGGAGCCGAGGCTCGCATACGTCACTATTGGGACACTGTTACTCCATAAGGACCCCAGGCACACATCAGGGAGCCTAGGCGTGTATAACTTTAGATATCAAATTTAATGCACTTCGTCTAAGGAGGGGGTGTGCTTCGAAGAGTCTGCTGTTACCAGAACCAACTTTAGAACCGGTTCTGGAATGTCCAAGCGTATGCAGAACTGTGCCTGGGGCAAATCTACTTTCCTGGATACCGACACCATCCAGAACCGTGCCTGATCCTAACCATAACCCATTCAGACAAAGAACTAGATAGGCACAGTTCTGGATACAATATAGACTATCCAGAACCGTGCCTGATCCTAGTTGGACAGCCCTGGCTGTTGTCATCCGAATTACTAAATAAAGAAAAAAACTAACTGAAACAATCCCCTGATGTCTGTTTTGTCACCGGAAGCGTAGTTTGTAGAGTTGTACAGTTAAAAGTTTGACTCCGTAAAAATTATTCGCCATTTCTCTGTTTTTCCCGGACACGTAACGTCTCTCCATCATCCTTCTCTCTTCTGCGCCTGGGACAGCCTTCCCTCAATTCATCACGCTAATCACACCACTTCATCTCCGTGACGTCATCACCCCTGATGCGTGCGGAACACTCACCCCTTTTAGTTGCCATGGCAACGGAGGATTTTGCACTCTCCAAAATTAATAGAAGTATTCCACTGCTCCATTCCGTATTTCCAGTGTACGTTTTATGTTTTTAGCCAAGAAGTCCTCCGGGGATTTTACCCACAGAAGGTCCGTATGTGTAGTATTTGAACGCTCAACTTTTTCAGTGTTTTTGGCAGTGACTGATTTTGAAAAGTTTTAACAAAGATTGGCGCGTCAAATTAGCATCCGGTAGACTTCATGATCTAAACTATCGCTAATTTACAATTTCTCAAAGGACTAACGGAAATACCGTAATGATAAATGTGACCCCCAAACATCAGACGGCACGAAGCTGACAACGAAAAGTGCCCCTGCAGTACTATGAAGGACAGCTAGGGGGCCATAAGACCTAGTTCCTCAAGCATTACCGATTTAGCTCGACACGCTTAACTTTTATCTGAAACCTCACCTTACCCAGAGCACAGAGAAACAACATATTCCACGCAGTTCTGAAGTCGCTACCTCATGACGAGTAACGGCCGTTTCTCACTGTTTTAATTACACCATAAACTCAGCGAGGCTCCAATCGTGTTGAACACGGACGCAAATCGCGTCACGTCTGTTTCTCCGGCTCAAAAGCGACTGTGAGAAATTATTGTGCTTTAGTTGCGGTTGGCACCAATCGATTTTGCCGCTAGTGTAGTCAATTATTTGTATCTGTTAAAATATTATTTTCTTAATAGTATCATACATTAGGAATTTTTCTCGCCAAATAACTTGAGATGGGGTATCGTTGTATAACACTTAATCACCACTTAATAACACTTAACAATCCCTCAGAAGTTGCTGGAAGGACGCAAGAGACACATTAGACAAACCCGTAAATGCCGCATTACTACTACATTAGCGCCAGTCTTCGCTATGACAAACGCAATTGTCGCCGCTTGAGTTATTTATTCCATTACGGGCCGCAGCAAGTAAATGTTCTGGATGCCATCAGGCCTCCGGAAACTTTGTTAAACAATCGTTGAAGAGGTTCATCAGTCACGTAGAATTAACAGTTAGTAGAATATTCATCAATCAGTGACTCTTTTTGACAGGTAGAAACACGTACCTCCAAATTTTCCATGTCCACTGTACATCTTGATCACGGAGTGACCTAGTCAGAGTTGGGAGCTGCCGAAGTCCTACCTACACCTACTCCTACTCCGCAAGGAGGCGGGGGAGGCCAGAAGATCCACACAAGTCTCGACCTAGCCTCGTGTTCTCGCGAGACTAGGTCACTCCGTGATCAAGACGTACAGCGGACATTTGGAGGTACGTGTCTCTACCTTTCAAGAACGGTCACTGATTGAGGAATATTCTACTATCTTTTAAACAAGAAATGATACCTATTACAGCATACATTAGAAAAGAAATGCCGCATTAGCGCATTGCTAGTGCCTGTTCTCGCTATGACAAACGCACTTGTCGCCGGTTGAGTCGAGCCGCGGTGTGTACAAATTGATTCCGCCAAATCAGCGGTAATGGAGTCATTTATTCCATTACGGCAGATTTGTGCGTTTCCGGAAGCGACTGTTTCCGCCCGACTGAACCCTGCATCGCACCAGGAGTCGGTGATGAATGGTTTACTGAAATACAAACCAGTCGCAGTCCGAAGGCTGAATTGTTGATTTGGTACAATACAATCTTTCTCATTATCACTGTTCATGTTGTACAGCTTTAGCTTGATTTACAGAGCATGAGATATTGACAACTGCTAACAAATGTACGTACAGTCGACTTCTATTTACATTTTTTGTTGGAATTTTATTTCTGATTTCTAAAATGAAACATAAACATTTGATATCATCATATCACAATAAAACGTGGCAATAACACATTCGTAAGATCTGAAGATAACAACCATATAATATAAATTATAGAAATAAGTCATAAGCTAGGTATATACATGTACCCTCACGGAAAAAAAAATTCAAGAAAAACCATCAAGGTGGGACAGCTGTTACTAAGGCATTTAAAAGTCCGCCTCAAGGAGGAGAAACGCTTTCCGACAGGAGAACAACAGGAGATCGTTTGTCTCTTGCTCAGTCGTGGATAATCACATCAGATCAAACTTTATCACAACCAACACGGCAGCCGTGTACATGACATTGTGCATCACTGAATATTTCTCCGGTTTTCACACATAACACCGTGACTGGGGCTAAGTATTAACATTAAAAACACTTTACCAGCACAGTTAGAAATGATAAGATTTAGATTTATATACATAGGATTTAGATTTGCACACAGAAGACAATGTCTAAACCTTAATCTGTTATGCACGTTATTAACACCGCTCATATTGAACGACGTTGTTGTGAATGTGGCAATCTCAGCTGTGCTCATGTCGCCACATTATGTCGCCACAATAAGTCATCTGTATCATTTCCAGTCATCTGACTCTTAATCTGCTACACAAATTGCCTCCGCCCGTCTCCTGTCTCACTCACAATTACGCTCCGTCACTTTCCATACCGATCACATGTACGTCACTGTTTAATGGTGTACAACTTTGGCTTGATTTATAGCGCTTGAGATGCTGATAACTGCTAACAAATGGTACCTTCAGTCGACTTTTATTTACATTTTGTTAGAATTTCATTTCTGATTTAAGTACTCTATTATCTTTATCAACAGCAATATGCTATTGTGACAGCTGCTATATATTTCCCACAGCCAGACTAATAACTAAAGATACCATTGCATCCAGAACTGTGCATATGCACATGTGCCTATGCCTGAATGGGTTAGGGGTAGGATCAGGCACGGTTCTGGATAATCCCTGCGTATCCAAAAACGTAGATTTGCCCCAGGCACGGTTCTGGATACGTGTGGACTATCCAGAACCGCGCTCGAGCAAGGTTCTGGAAAAAGCACGATTCTGGATACGCCTGAACAATCCAGAACCGCGCTCGAGCATGGTTCTGGATAAAGCACGCTTCTGGATACAATATGAGATGTTAAGATAAATAAGACTTACGGAAATAAGAGCCTTACCATCGTGGTTTCCTTCACCGACCCCATGCTCTGCACGAAGATGTCACACGTCACGTTAACAGGCGCACCTGGAGAAAACAACAACAACGACAGATATCTATCATGCTTATATCATACCATATCATATCATATCATATCATATCATATCATATCATGTTATATCATTATCATATCATGTCATATCATCTCATCTCATGTCATATCATTATCATATCATGTCATATCATACCATATCATGTCATATCATATCATGTCATGTCATGTCATGTCATGTCATGTCATGTCAGTCATGTCATATCATATCATGTCATGTCATGTCATGTCATGTCAGTCATGTCATATCATATCATATCATATCATGCCATGTCATATCATATCATATCATATCATACCATATCATGTATCCCATCATATCATATCATATCATGTCCTATCATGTCATATAATATCATGTATCACAACGTATCATATCATATCATATCATATCGCGTGCTCTGCACCAATATATCAGCAGACGAAAAATAATCTCAGGTTAACCTGAAAACCTGGAGGAAGCAGAACAGGCGGTAGGAGTTTGCACTCACGTGACCATGACCTATGACCTTGTCCGCCATGTTGGACGGTTAAACCTGGACGTTAACAACGAATTTATTCTGTGTTGAAGCGAAAGTTTGTAGTTTGATCGCGTTTGTGAGAGTTCTGCTAACAATGCACGCACGGGGGATATTTAGCAGGGTGTGTGTGAGAAATACCATAAGGAACAGGACAGGAAACAGGCATAGAAACAGCAACAGTCCTCATAGCTAGAGGGCAAAAGTTATCAGCTAAACTATACATCTCTGGTGTTAATGGTATATATTTCATGACATAACTATAGAAACTATGTCGTTCATGAAAATTGTACATTTCCAAAAGCACAGTGCGCCTTTACCTCGTATTTGAGTACACGTTAGAATACCTGTAATAAAATGACATGACCCCATCTGCAGATGTTTCTAAGCCAAACAGGCTTATTATAGAAACACCAGAAAATACAAACACTTCGTCTTCGTGCAAGGTTTAGAATGTACTCCCCAAAAGTCTAGTCCCTTTATTTGACCACTGTTTATAATACTCTGGTTTAGTCTTCTGTCAGAGCAGAAGAGGAGCATTTGTAATAAAACGACCTGACCCTGTCCGCCCTGCTATAAGAGAAGCCGGGTGAGTTATGACGTGCGGGGGACGCGCGGTGGAAGACTGATGCCGCTCTCTCCCCGCTCTGTCAGCCACAGCGCGCGCTACAAAGGCTCCCAACCCTGCGGCAACAGACAAACCGCGGACAATAATAGTACCACTCTATCTGCCTCTACAGCAGACTCACCGCGTCCGCTTGTAAAGGCAGGAAGACAGGACTGTACGTGCGGGGACATGGAGGCACTACCCACTCATCCGTCACGCCGGGGCGTGGGCTTGTAAAGGTCCGGGCAACTAATGTCCTCCTCACAAACAGTAATCCCTCTCCTCCCCGGGTACTACTCAGGTTAAGTCTGGGTTGATTGCCGGGGGAGGAGAGGAGCATTTGTCACGGTTTGTGGGAGATGGAACTCGCGTCACTCTGGTATCATGGCCGCGGGACAGAAGCTCTCTGTCAAGTTCATATCAAAACTCTTTCGTTTGTAGATTTGTGCAAGGTTTAAAAACGTACTCCCATAAAGTCTAGTCCTTTTATTTGACCACAGTTTATACTGCTCTGGTTTAGTCCCAGCAGGTTACTGTCAGAGAAGAGGTGCATTTGTCACGGTGTGTGGGATCGGGAGCTGGAAATACCGTCACTCTGGGTTATGGGCGGGGGACAGAAGTTCACATCAAAACTCTGTCCAGCTAGCAAAATCTGAGGCATTCGTTTGTAGATTTTGCTTAGAAACACCAGAGAATACAAAAATGAGTGTTCGTGCAGGGTTTAAGATATACTCCCATAACGTCTAGTCCTTTTATTTGACCACAGTTTATACTACTTTGTTTTAGTGAACTTCGTATCAACCTCTATCCTACTTGGCCAAGCCATTCAAGTTCATTTGTAGATTCTGTATAAAAACACCAGAGAATACAAACGCGAGTGTTGGTCCAAGGTCTGAAGATAAATAAAGGGCTTTTTGTCAATTTCATATCAAAACTCTCTCCTGCTAGCAAAATCTGCGGCATTCGTTTGTAGATTTTGCTTAAAACATCAGAGAATGCAAAAGTGAGTGTTCGTGCAAGGTTTAAAATGTATTCCCATAAAGTCTAGTCCCTTCATTTGACCACAGTTTATACTGCTCTGCTCTGGTTTAGTCCCAGCAGGTTACTGTCAAAGAAGAAGAGGAGCATTTGTCACGACTTGTGGAAGTTGGGACTACCGTTCATGGCCTATGGGCGGAAGCTTTCTGTCAATTTCATGTCAAACTCTCTATATTCTGCCTAGAAACATCAAAGAATACAAAAGTGAGTGTTCCAGAAATGTACTCCCATAACGTCGAAGTATTTGACCGCAGTTTATACCACTCAGGTTTAGTCCCAGGTTACTGTTAGGTAAGATGAGGTGGATTTGGTTTGTAGGAGATGGAGTTCTCAGTCAAGTTCAGGTTTGCGTGACGGGAATTCTGGCTGTCAAGTTCATCATATCAAACTCTGCTGCAGAGTTTGTGAACTTCTCAGGCAGACTTCTGAATGAAATGATCCGAACCAGACGAAAACAGGACGGAGACAAATATGCTGCCGCGTTGTGCGTTTTTGCCTGTGAAGCAAATGTCACTAATCTACTATTCATGTAATCTCCAAGCAGATACAGTGGGGCAAGGTGACTTGATGTTAGCTGCTTGTATCCATCGTTCGCCCCAAGAATCTGCCGCAGAACGCACCAGTGCTGGGCTATCCTGCGGCCTGCATAAAGTCACCTTGCCCCCACCGAATCTGCTTGGAGATTACTATTCATGTTTATTACCCAAAACTGTTGCCATCTGCCTGTCTGATCTGTAAGTTTCAATGGGTTGTCAAAAGTTTTACGAAGCAAAACTTTTTTTTAGATCTTAAGTTTTGAGCAAAACTTTTCTCTTACATCTTGAGTATTGAGCAAAACTTTTCTCTTACATCTTGAGTATTGAGCAATGATAAGAAAAGCCCTGTCGGCCTCCAGACGGAGACGAATGAGTGCACTTTATCGCGTAATCCAGGGCACAGCGTCAGGCTGAAACAACGGCAGCAACAATAAGGGACTAATCTACATATGAAAACACAAGGTATTAACTACGGTGCATTTGTATGTGGGTAGAACAATCTTATGTTAGAGATAAGATTGTTTGAAGAGGTGTGATCATTGCAAAGTTGGCAGCTGTTCAGAGATCTTTATTGTGATTTTCTGCGTAGCGTTAATACCTGGAGTCGGGCTTCAGATCTATAGAAAGCCTGCTCACGGGGGCTGAGAGTCAGGGTCAGAGTCGCAGCTCAAAATACAGCGTCAAAGTCCCGCACAGATGAAAAGAACCGAGTCAGAATCTCTGCTTAAAACCAGATAAGATCCATGAAAGTCGTGTGCAGCCGCTGTAACGCTGGCACGCGGCCAAAAAAGTTCTTTGTTGCGATTTCAATATAGCAATTTGATGCGCCGATACGCTTCGAATGTATCGAGTGCGCTAGCTTGGGCTCCGCGGGTTTAATGAGTAGATTATCCATTGAAAAAGACGTGCAGGCTTCCAGCACAATGAAATCATTACCAGTTACCATCTGACGGCCATCTTGTCAACTTCTCATGGTCTCATTGCAGTAATATATGTACACGTGTACACAACTGGTCTCATTGCGGTAATACATGTACATATCAGCCCGATATTTTAGACTGTGATTAAAGACCTCTTTCAAAGCAACGCGAGACTTGGTGAAAAAAAAAATCTTAAATGAGGATATTTTGAGGATTGAGAGATAAGTAGAAGATCTGCAGTTTCCTTCCTTTCCTAAACTGGTGTAGATCCTTATACATCTGAATTGCGGTTTCTAATTCAAGAGAAGTTCCCGCTACTGCAGGACCTGAAAGGGCGTGAGTACGGCTCCACTGGGAGCAGTTTTGCGTGGTGGGAGATTGTTGAAACCCACCACAAAGCTCAGCCTATTGTAGACTTGCACTTTGTACACATGAGTCAGAAATCACCCCACCCCCCTCATAACATCCCTGCATTACCAGCCTATACTGTAGATGGACTAAAACTAATGAATATGAAAACTACTTGAACTAATCGAAATTGTGTGCAACACATTACTGTAAATGACTGCAATTCAGTGGCGGCGAAAGTTGTCCACAGCAAAAGTTCAGTAGAGATCTTGACTTGTAGACCTGCACTTTGTACACCTTTGAGTCAGAAATCACCCCTCCCCCTCCCATTCACATCGCTTCTGCACTACGTAACATACCGAACTCCGGTGGGAGGCAACCTTCCGAGATCGTTGCCAACTTTCACGCTTCTCGGCCGATGTGAATTCGATTCTGCTTCTCTAATTCGCTAATTCGATTTTCCCCTTCAGATGCCAACTTTCCAGGAATATTAGGCGCTGATCTGCCGATTATTACCTCAGCGGGAACATCGCGAGTTTATTATATCTATATGATAATGTCCTCCGGGAATGGAGCTGAGAAAGCCGAACAGGCGGGTAGATAGTTGAAATGCAGCGAGGGTCAGCAATTGTAGCATTTATGAAGAAAGCCACAGGCTAGCGAACTCTTTCATAACTTTATTCTTTGTACCCCGTTAACTTTGGTTTAGGACCAAGAAGGGTCTGGATAGTTTTCGCGTATCCAAGAAGGTAGATTTGCCCCAACCACGGTTCTGGATAGGCGTGGACTGTCCGGAACCGTGCCTGAGCATCGTTCTGGATAAAGGCACGGTTCTGAAGCTAATATTCCCAACTAACTACTGCACTGCAGTTCAATATTCAGTATTCTGTGACGCGCCTGGTCTCATCTCTCAGCAGTTCTGACGGCGGCCGGAAAAACGGACGTGGATTCATTTTTATTGGGGCAGAGGTTAATGGCACCATCGTCAGCGTGAGGAGCGGAGAAACG